AATTCAAACTTTATTATAAAGCAAAATATTATTATCAAGATTAAACTTAGAAACTATTATTGTTTATTATGAGTTTGTTAGACTTGATAAATAGTTTGATCATAGTATATATACTGTATATCATATTGCTTGAATAAATTGTACTTATATATTTAATAGTTTAATCTTGTTACAAGTATTATCTATTTAATCTGAACTTGGATAATTAATTTATATTATAAAAAGTCCAATTAGATTTTTACAAATTCACATTTAATATCAGATAGCACCGGAAGATTTCGGGATGATGAAATTCGAACAGTCTTCTCTTACCATTCACATGGATACACCTAATCAATCGTTTGTACAAGTGGATCCACCTTGCATGTCAACCTTCAGATCAGGCCACATTATGATCATTGTGAAGCTTATTTCTGGGGCAAGCATCCAAGAAGCCAACCTGCCATTTTTGGCCCACGGGTGGCGGTGACAAATATTGGATTTTGCCCGTTCTGATTTAGAACCAAAACATCTAAGTGCGTACAAATATGGGCGGCGGTCGCCTTCCATATGTGTTTGCAGTGCATAAACGGTTTCCTAGCCATTTTGGACTTGTAATGTGAGCTCATACAAATCTTTCAGACACTGAAAATGATTAGTGGTGCAAGATACATTCACTGCGCGTTCATAACGGGACGCTTGAAGGAAGAATCTTCAGTAACTCACGTCGGTATGTAAAATGGGAGGTCAGTAAATCGACGGATTGCACACGCTTACGCGAAGGCATCACATCTCACTCATTCTGGCCTAATCGCGGTCTAACTAGCAGCCGGTGTACCCTATAAAGTATCTATCGGTGATCCTTTATCATTCATTATCTTCAACATCATCGATACGTGCTTTAAGAATTAAAATTTTTTTCTCCTATTTATCACTAGGTAGCTTAAAAAACCGTGTCACAGATTATATAAGTACTACGTGTGAACTATATAAGCCTTTTTTTTTCACTACATCCTCTCTAAAAAATTTTCCAATTCTCGTGTTCTTCGTTAATTATCAAATCCATTCTTATTCGTTGGCCTTCCTCCTACGGTTTTTAGTTCACTCGAAAAAAAAAAAAAAAGAATGGAACATCGTGATGTCTATAACCCGCTTCTTTTCGAGATTGCTTGGGAGGTTGCTAACAAAGGTTTGAAGAATTTTTCTTGCACCCGATATTTACTCGTTTTCTGTTCTCCTTCAGCATTCCTCATTAACCAATTATGATCATTATTATTTTTATTATTATTTTTTTTTTTTTGTTCACAGTTGGAGGAATATACACCGTAATAAAGTCCAAGGCACCTGTGACGGTCTACGAATTCGGTGAACGATATACTCTCATAGGACCTCTCTCTTATAAAACCTCTTCTTCCGAGGTGGAACCCATGGAAGTTACCAATGGATGCATGAAAGAAATCTTGAACGAAATGTCTTCACAAGGTGTTAAATGGATGTACGGACGTTGGTTGATTGAAGGTGCTCCCCAGGTGCTCTTGTTCGACACATACTCCGTGTTTGATCGATTGGATGGATGGAAGGCCGATCTCTGGAATGTTGTGAATATCCCATCACCAGCTAACGACCAAGAAACCAATGATTGTATTCTTTTCGGGTATTTAGTATCGTGGTTCTTGGGTGATGTATGTATTGAAATATCATGTGATGAGGTGATCGCATGTGGAATTGCGTTTTCATGTGCAATTAAAGTTTGCTCACGTAACCAATTTCACATGCACGTTTCTCTTTTTAGTAACACCAATTAAAAAATAATTCACATTTATTCATTATCATCACACATCATCACATCACCAATCCCAATCACACCCTCAAGTTCGTTGCCAAAGAAAAAGGGAAAGCCGTGATTGCCCATTTCCATGAGTGGATGGCATCCTGCGCCATTCCTTTATTGCGAAAACGACGTACCGACTTCACCACCATCTTCACTACTCACGCAACAATATTAGGTCGCTACCTGTGTGCTGGATCAGTGGATTTTTATAACAACATTGAGAAATTTCCGGTGGATGAAGAGGCCGGTAAACGTGGCATATATCATCGCTATTGCGTGGAACGTGCGGCCGCGCATTGTTGTGATGTGTTTACCACCGTAAGTCATATTACGGCTTATGAGGCGGAACATTTGTTAAAGAGAAAGCCAGGTTTGTGATATGTCCTCCTCGTGTTCTTGCCATCGCCTTCCTCCCTTCTCATCGGTTTATTTCCGATCACAAAGATGGTGTGTTGCCAAACGGTTTAAATGTCGTAAAGTTTTCCGCTGTTCACGAATTTCAGAATCTGCACGCCCGCAATAAGGAAAAAATACATAGCTTTGTGCGTAGTCACTTCTATGGTCATTATGATTTTGACTTAGACAATACACTGTATTTCTTTACCGCTGGCCGTTACGAATATGGAAACAAGGGAGTGGATATATTTATCGAATCACTAGAACGTTTAAATCATCGATTGAGAGCATGCAATTCGCCAGTAACCGTGGTGGCATTTTTAATCATGCCTGCGGCTACTCGGTCGTATACCGTTGATGCACTTAAAGGACAAGCTGTCACCAAGCAGCTCCAGGAAACGGTGAAAGAAATCACCGATAGGATTGGAAAGAGATTATTCGAGAAGGCAGCTCGATATACCAGGTGCGTTATAACCATGGAAAGATGTGTGTGTCAAATGCGACGAGGAATATCTGACCAATACTATGTATGCAAATTTCACACATTTTAATCTACAGCGGTGATATAGTGCGGGAGGTTGTGAATCCATCTGATCTACTTACAAACGAGGAAATGGTTTTGCTGAAACGTCGTGTCATTGCACTCCGACGCGAGTCCCTACCACCAATAGTCACTCATAACATGATTGATGACTCTAACGATCCAATCTTGAATCAACTACGTCGTCTTCGCCTATTCAACGATCGCATGGACAGAGTAAAGGTGATCTTCCACCCTGAATTCATAAATTCAAACAATCCCTTGTTCGGCCTGGATTATGATGATTTCGTACGTGGCTGTCATCTTGGCGTGTTCCCGAGTTATTATGAACCATGGGGTTACACACCGGCCGAATGCACCGTGATGGGTATCCCCTCTATTACCAGCAATCTATCGGGCTTTGGTAGTTACATGGAAGAACTCCTCGAGGACCCTTCCGAATACGGTATCCATATTGTCGACCGTCGGATGAAATCCGTCGAAGAATCCATTCAACAACTCGCGGACATCATGTTACAATTCTGTCAGAAGTCGCGACGTCAACGAATCAACATGCGTAATCGCACGGAACGCTTGTCAGATTTGTTGGATTGGAAGTTTATGGGAGTGGAATACACTCGAGCGAGAAAATTGGCATTGCATCGAACATACCCAGAATGCTTCGTGGGCGCGGATCCCGATCTTGACGACTTTCAACAATGCAGAACAAAGATCCGACGACCATCATCTGGCTTCATATCACCGAGATCATCAAGTAGCAGAAACAGTGAGGTGGATTTTGAAGAGCAAGTGCCATACATTGGTGAACACGAGGATGAAGAGGAAGAATATCATTATCCATTGATTTTGAAAAGAAGAGATTCCTCTCGTGATTTAACTGCCTACACCCAGGAACAATATAACAGTTAATTGGAATAATTTATTGTTTGAACGATGATGAGCAAAATTCTATTTATACGAATAGATTATGACAATTTTTTACAAGTTGTGGCGAATTATGTGCGAATTAATTCTGAGTCATTGAATGATTTCTGTAAATAAACATACATAATCGCGAATATATATATATATATATATATATATATTTCTCATCATTTCTTTAGATGAAAAAGGACGATCGAAAGATTAATTTAAGTTTTTAATGTTTATTTGTTTGTATTTTTTATCATGCTAAATTAAAAATACAGTGTAATTTTAAAATTCTCTATGAATAATAAGTGAAGAGCGTGAAGGAATGATTTTTTTTTTTTTTATATACGTCAGGTATATACGAAATGCGAATTATCTTGCGTTATATGAATAATTATTTAGAAAGCGATTGGTCCTTACTCTAGAATCAAGTGGATAGTTTAGGTTATGTTCACTCAGTTATGACGCGTATATCATGTTGGGGTAGGTCGCAAAATTCGTCACTTGACCAGTGATATATCCCTAAGTGTAACGTGTAAATTACACAACTCAAGTCCGTGGCTTGACTTGCAGATCAACATTTTGCGTGGAGGGTTATACTGTATATACTAAAACCTTGCCTTAACTTTTTAATTGATTTCTTGATAAGGGTCAAATTTGAGGTACATTATTTGACTTTTTTATAATATATTTGAATACTAATTAAGGATGAGTCACATAGTGCTCAATTGTTAGCAGTTGTTAGTTTCATATAATTTATTTGAACATCAATTAAGAATAAGGCATATGGTTTTTTTTTTTAAAAATTCTTAACCACCATTTCCAAAGAAGTGTTCCTCCAAAACTTTATGTTTTGAGAATAATAAAACTTCAAAACTTTTTTAAAAATATTTGCTTTACTTAGCAGCAGTCATATTCTATACTTCTTGTTTACTTTTTCTTTTCAAAAATTCTCTATCTAATAAGTTAATAGCAAGAAAACTTTTCTAGAAAAAAGAAACCAGACAAAAAAATACACTTCTTCTCTTTTCTATAGAGGTTTCAAAGTTTAAAAAAAAGTTTATGTCAATAATTTTATATTAACCTAAGAAATTGATTTTATTATCATAGGTAAAAATAGCTTCTCTCTTAGTTTTTTCTTGATTTTTTTGAGTGATTTTACTTACTTTAGCTTGATCCTGAATTTCCTGTTATATTGGATTTTGGACAAATTGATTGGTTAAAAATTGAAATTGATTACTCTATAGTTAAAAAAAAATATAAACAAGAATATATATAATATATAACATAAATACATTTCCTAAGTTCCATAAGAACTTTAAGTCTATTATAAGTCATATTCTAGATATGCAGATTGATAAATATCACATTAATTGTATTCTTCTCTCTCCTATTACTCTCTAAATGTGTATAACTATAGAATAAGTATTTCTTTTATTGGAATGAAATTTCAAAAACTTACTCTACTCACAAAAGGTACAATTATTTTTCCATTTCAAAATAACTTCAGAGTTTTTTATTCTAATCTAAATAGTTTTTTTATCCTTGCATAATATAAAATACCACTGAATTCATACTCTTTCTTTGAACACACTCAGTATTGATAACAGGCCATAATTATTAGGATTATAAGAAAGGTATACTTCTTTTTTCAAGGAATTAGCAAGTTCAATATAGTATATTAGTTGGAAGGAATCTGAAAAGATTAAAAATTCAAATAAGAGATGTCTAATTATTTTCTAAATAGTAGTAGTAATAGAATTTAATCCAACCAGATATCTCTAAGCAATAACACTAGTCGAAATTATGTTATTCAGCAGTTGAATTATTGCCGAATTTGATTAAATTTAATAATAAAAATATTGCCAAATTCTTTTCGATTACTGCCACTTGGCATATTACATTTTGGCAATAAAGTGACAATCAAAAATTCAGCAATAAAAAATTCAGCAATCAAAAACTCAGCAATCAAAAATTTGGCAATTAAAAATTTAACAATCAAAAATTTGACAATCAAAAAATTCGGTAATCAAAAATTTATTAATTAAAAGTTTAACAAAAAATTCATCAAA